GCCTTCGGCTCAGGTGAGCTAAAAATCCATTTTTCTGTAGGCTCAAATTATTGACCCTTGTATGAAATTCTTGTGATCATTTCTTCATTATGAGAAAGTGAAATAATATGAAAGGCTATTTTCCTGCATGCTCAAATTTACACAGATTCATGAACCAGTCTTCCCATTGGTGAAACTGATATATTGTTTTGTGGTTTTTCTTGTAAATATCATACCTTTCACTAATAACAAAAAAATTATTCATGAATCAATTCTTGTGGTAAATTGGCAACCAAAAAAAAAAAGAAAAGAAAAAATAGAGAAAATTCAATCGATGCAGAAAATAGGCCATTGACAGTAAATAAATGTCACAACCTATATATTAATTAAAATTTTGTGTAAACAGTGTCAAAGAAATGTCTGATCATAAATAAGATTCTTTAGTCAAGAGAGATAACTTTCCCAGTGTTCCAAATATCACTCACAAGCCTTCCATCCCCACTGCCAAGGTCTATGAACTTTCCTTTTCTGCCTTTTAACATTCGGAACACATTCTCCACTTGTTCCTCTGAGGCTGGGACAAAGGGCAGACATACCCTCCTCAGTGCTGGGGTAATAAAAGGCCCTGCTATAAGGTGAATGCCAAACACTATACCAGCTAGGGTACCAGTTATAATGTAACCTAAGGAGTAGGGGAAAAATACAATGTATTTGCAATGTGATAGTTTTTTTAATGCATTTCGCATACATGTATTGTACTAATGTCACATTTAAATACAAGTTATTGCGTGTGTGACCACCAGGCTTTTTAGCAAAATTAATTTAATAGTGACCATTAAATGTTCAATTCTAACTGCATGCTCTTGAATTTCTGATAGTGCTAGATTTAGAGATTCAGGGCAAATCATTGCAACTTGGTGTAGCAAGAAGAGTGTTCAGAAATGCTCAAATCTCTTATACACTGGAAAAGTAGGAAAACTGTAGATATGCTAGATTTTAACTACAGAAAAACTTGTTTAATCCAGATACCACTAGTTCCTGAGAAATTGGCTGGATTAGACAACATTTTAAACAATTGAATTACCATAACTGAAAGAGACTTATAAGTTTACATCATAATAGGCAAGATTTCGGAATACATAACATCAGGATTAGACAAGTTTCACTGTATTACTGGATGTGAATATTTCCATACCTGAGTATGACTTCTGTTTTGGTTTGTCAGGGGCTGAGCTGCTCTCATTGAAGATAGATTCCATGGCTCACAGGAAAATATAAATCAGCTACAAACTGTAGAGAATGTTTCATGCATATATAAATTGCTAAAAGTATAGAAATTAAAAACATTTTTATTTTTCCATCTCAGTGATTTGTAAGTGCAACAGGAAGAGAGAAAGTGATGGACCAGACCAGAATTTAAATTCAAGCTCTCTAAACTCTAGGTTGGTGCTCTATCAACTGAGCTGTTTGGCCACCGGTGAACAAACCTGCCGGAGTGACCATCACATTCCTCCCTCCTTGAATGTCTTCACCCACAAAGACACACAACCCAGGTTTTTTTTTTTGCCCCCTGGAAATACTTTCAGCTGCATGTCCAGGGTGGTATCAAATGTAGCAAGAAGAGAGAAAATGTAAGGGACCAGACCAGGATTTGAACCTGGGCCCCCTGAACTCTAGACATGTGCTCTACAAATCTTGCACATGAACCTTCCAATTGCCACAGAAGTCAGTAGTCCAAGCTAGAGAACCTGCTGGATAGACTTCACCTACAGTTAAGTGTGCTGCAAAATTGACAGATCCAAGGAAATTAATCAGAGTTGTGTCCTAGAATCTATCTGAGCACCACAGTGATAAGGTGTATCCAAGAGAACAAAAATTATGACCTTAGAACAAGAGACCCACAATGCTTGCCAAATATTACTAGTACATGGTCATTTTCTTTGAGCATTTCAGTAAATCGCAACAGGTTTAATCAATGATTACGGAAACTAATTAATACAAGTTTCAAAAGGGTTGGTGGACACTGACTAATACGGGGTAGTGGGGAAAGTATTTATTGTGGTGGTCAAGCAGATTATTTGCCCAGGTTAGAATCCCAGTCCGTCACAATTTTCTCCTCTCCCGTTACATTTGGTGCCATGCCTTACCCTGGAAATGACAGGTGAAAGACCTGCCAGGGAAGAGCCTGGATGTGTGTCTTTTGGGGCCGAAGACCTTTAAGGAGGGAGGAATGAGGCAGTCACATGGGTTCGATCGCCTGTGGCCAGATAGCTCATTGGTAGAGCAACTGACTTGAGATTCAAGGGGCCAGGGTTCGAATCCAGGTCTGATCCGTCGCAATTTTCTCCTCTTTCGATCTTTACATAAGTTTGAAGAGGCGGATCAAAGTTTAAAGCGTAAGCCATATAAAGATTTTTTTATGGTATACATCTGCGCTCGCCCAAAGGTGGCACCGTAAAACATATTAAAAAATTTCAGATAAAAGGCCATTTTTGTCAAAATTTTGCCACGCTGGATATGCTGAAATTGTGTGCAATTTAATAATAAATTAGATTTCATTTAGAAAATCATTGGTGATAAAGCAAAATTTAATAGTAGACAAAGGGATGATCGATGAACTTGACATCCTCACAACGTCAGGGGTCCTGATTCAACACGTTGCCGTTGGTCCAACGGCAACGTGTTGACTCATGACCCCTGACGTTGTGAGGATGTGAACTTGAAAGCGAGAGGGATTTGGCAGTTAAGCAGGTGCAATCATGCAATCACCTGTGGTCAGATTGCTCAGTTGGTAGAGCACCTGAGTTGAAGAAGGGGGGATCGAATCTTGGTTCGTCGCATTTCCTCCCTTCCTTGTAATCCCCCAATGAAATGGATCCCTTCTTCAGACTCAAGTTCCTACCTGTACCTAGATAGAACGTACCGAGAAGTCTAACATTATTAAATTTAATAATGCGTTGATTCTTCATGTAAACAGCTAGTTTACTTACATTACCAACAACAAACAAGTAACTTTCAAATGATAAAAATCCTTTTGACTTTCAGAAATGTTCTCGAAGCACAATACACATTTTGTACCGAATTTCCTCTTGATGGTGTTTCTTGTTCTCATTGAAGACAAATGCCACAATGCTTGAAGACTGTTTTCAAAGCTCAACTCCGATTCTACTAATTCTCATAAACTTGATTATCAATGACACATCACCTGTCAGTGTCACTGCCTTTTAAAAAATAAAAAAGTTAGGAAACATTTTGGAAACCGGCATGACCCAAATTTTTGTCAACTCGTACATTGAAATATTCGATCTACCTACACAAGCAAGCAGATCCATGCCCGTTTGTTTTATAGATCTTTGTTTAGGCTAGCATATAAAACTGAGTAAAGTATACAACAAACATAAATTATGTAGTTTCTTCCTGAAATTTGGTTAATTTCTTGTCAACTTCATTACAAACAACTCTATGCAATCCAAATATTTCCCATTTAAAATTTAGCAGCAGAAAGCTGTCATCAAAAATCACCTGGCTCTCTTAGCACCAAGACCTTAAAACACTTCCATAACAATGGTTCCTTAATGTTTAAATTAATTTAGCTTACTCATTATAAACACTATCCAACAAAGAAGAGGACAATGTTTTCCACACTCATAAAAAGATTCCCTTTCATTCATCAAGTGAAGCACTTAATAAGTGCGATGTTCTTTCAATTTTTTCTACAGTTCTAGATATAAAAGTATGACTTGAACACTTCTTTTTAATTTTTTTTTTTATTTGTTGCTGTATGACACATCTACTTTGACTTTAGTCCACTTTTCTTGACAACAACTGGTTTCTGGCTCCTCAGCAGGGCACTGGCTCTCCTGACAGCAGCCTGTAAATGTCATACATGAAACTATAGAAACCACCCAAAAATATGTGATCTTTCACCCACAGAAATTCTTCCTAAGTTCCATGCAGAGAATAAATATGCAAAATTCTACAAGGTATTTTACTGAACATGATGAAATTTCAATGAGTAAAGGGTAGATGTTCAACTTTTTTCCTTCAAAAATTTTTGTAGTTATTAATTTCCCTGTAACTGCTTTACAATTGTCCAGATAGCACTTCACACTGCAATATTCCAAATTTCTCACCATTTTCAGATCCTTCCTGTAACGGTTGTTACGGAGAGTTTTCTTGATGGTGCTGAAGGTTTTTCGTGATCCTCTTTTCAGCTCAACTCTGTTGAAGCTTTTCCCAGGGCGTTTGCCAGCTGCAAAAAATTTTATACAATATTTACATTTTCAGTACAGGTATGTTCTTTCTCAGTCAGATTAAAATCAAACCTTCACTAGCTCCTTTTTATTTTGTCACTTCAATATTCATGCAACAACCAAAATAAAAAGGAGCTAGTGAAGGTTCGGTTTTAATCAGACTGGTTCTTTCTACAAAGCTTTCCTAAATAAATACTGGTACAAAAACTAAAATTATCTTCTCACTACCTCTTAAATTGTTATGAAGGTTATTCAACCTGCACTATACTCAATTTCCTCATTTCAAATGTCTGACATGTAAATTTAAAGGAAACTTCAATTGAAGTCAATTGGGGCATCAATTGAAAACCATGTCATGAATTTCCAATGTACTACTAACTTAAATTATTATGTATTAATTTAAGTGTTTACTAATTCAATTATTAGGATCTTTTTGTTCCTCACCTATAATCTAGTGACACTGAAATCAATTGAAGTCTGAGCTCTGCACCTTGAAAATATAATACATTCCTAAAGTAGCAGTTTGAGCTATTCCAGGAAAAAATTACAAGAGGATGGATGCCATTTGTTTTCAGAACTCTAACCTTTAGAGTAAAATCTTGGGGGGGGGGGGGAGACAAGAAAATAATTTTATTTGCTAGTCTCCAACCAAAGAATACAACAAATCTTCTGCAATACTACAGTTTTTTCAGAGAATTATTTAATAACGGTAGTTCATCCTTAACAGTTTTTCTCCCTGTATGAAATAAATTTGCCCTCACTGGTTTTAAATGAATTCTCAAAATTACTGTTCTGGTAGATAAAAAAATGTTCTTTTTGATTCAATGTTTGGCTAATCTTTAACCATAGATATAAATCAATTTATTTAGAAATTACCACCTTTATAGCTCAGATTTTCTTTGGTTCAACTTCAATTTGAAGGGGAAAAAAAATCAATATTGAGAAATTCCAAACACAGTCATTTGGACCACTGCTAACAAGAAATCTTCCCTGCCATGATGTTGCAGAATGGAAAGCTTTCAGGATATATGCCTATTCATTTCCAGAAGATAATAATAGCATTTAATCAAAAGAGAATAAAATGTAAAATAAAAATCCAAAATAATTTGGGGTTTTTTTCCCACTCATTTGGAAAATAAATTTCTTCGTACTGTTTATAACTTTTTTTTTTTTTGCTCAAAACTGGATTGAAGACCAAGTCTTCGAGAACAGCAATTAATCATCTACCCACACACACTCTTGAATTTAAAAAAAAAAATGAAACCCTTAATTTATACAAAAAATCACTCTGCATAATTAGTGTGCAGAACAAAATATATCATACCTCTGGCCTTCTTAGTTACGAGGACAACCCCCTTTCCATCCTTGGCTGGGACAACACCAACTGTTTTGGGATGAATCAATCCATTGTAACGGAATGAGTTCACAGACTTCAAGTTGTTTGGCTCCTACAATAATAACTGCATTTATCTTTACTGATTTAAATCACCTGCCCTAAGGCATGCAATTCCTAAACAACTTGTCTTGGATTATATCTCAAGATTCCAGGGTTTCAGATTGCCATTGGCCATTTGCCGATGAAAATTCAAAATGGCACAAGAAAATAAAATTAGACAAAATGGTCAGTAAGTTTAACACTAAGCAGACGTAATGGCTGATTTAATTCTGTTTGTAATGGCATGTCATCATCTTTTTTCTTTTCAAATCCAATTAATTTGTTTTTACTACTTTCTGTGACTGCAGATTTCACCAGCCAGTGACATTCATATATTATATCTTGATCCCCAGATCACTTAATTTATCCAATATAATTTCTAGATGATATGCTTTCCCTACCAGTTTTAACATGAAGTAAATGATAAGCATATGCTGCCAAGAATAATCTCATCGTCAAATATATATTTACAAGATGTATTGGGTAGTGAACTCTTCAGTTAAGAAACTAGAACTCATAAGAATGATGGCAATGAAACTGAAGAATCAGAAAAAAACAGAAAATCACACAGAAAATGACACAACAATTTCATAGTACATATGGCTTAACATAAAACTGTGCTATGACTATATGAGAATCTGTGAGAAATATTTGATATCTCTTTAAATTTGAAGTAAACAGAATATTCTGACCAACAGGAGTTACAGTACTAATATAATACTATATATATATATCTACAGTCAAACCTCGTTATCTCGAACTCAATGGGACCAAGAAAAAACTTCAAGATATCTGAGGATTCGAGATATCCGGGTTAAAATACTTATAGAATAATCGGTTGGAACTTTCAAATCACTTCAAAATATCATGGTATTTGAGATATCAGTGTTCGGAGTACAGATGTTCAACTGTATATTATATAGAATAAGATTATTTGAAAACAATAAAATGTTTTCTTTGGTTGTTAGTACAGGAATTAACATTGCAGCTGTTGCAGAAAAAATAATTTTATGCAATAGCTGCTACGTTAATTCCCATACTAACAACCAAAGAAAGACATTTTATTGTTTATATCTGTATAAATAATCATTTACAGTAGGATTAAAAGGATTAATTATTGTATTATTGATATGTACGTCATAGTACATTTCAATGATGGAACAGCCACTGATCAAGAAATCTGTACAGGTGATATATGCCTAAGTGTTGTTCATGAACTGATAAACGACAATGGTTTTCTTTAGAAATAAAGGAGAAAATATTCAGTGGATGTAAATACATAGATATTAAATGTGGAGCCCTTGCTTAAAATTTTCATTCAATTACCCTGCTGTATGTTTGTTTATTTCCTTTCAAAAGAAAACTTGAGTTATTCCTGATGATCAACCACTGCAAGTCCGTGGAAGCCATTCTGGGAGCTTGTCTGTAAAGAAACAACATAACTTACTTATACTTGAAGCACTTAACAATCATTGAAATCAATATTAAATGGGTAGTTCAAACATCTTTCTTTACCCAAAAGCAACTGAATTATAAAATTTATTACATTTTACATGCAACACATAAGAACCAAACATACGAAAGAAAATGTTGGGAACCCATTTGCAATACCACCCCCCTCCTTCTTTCCATTAGGTTAGCAGAACCTTCATATGACGTCCAAAGATACCAAAAATTAAGATTTGATTAAAGAAAATAAAAGTTATTTCACAAAAAACTCAATAGAAAGCAATTTTTATTTTTAATCGGGAGAAAAATTTAGTTTATAGCTGTGTTTTATCGAAAAGCCATGCTCACTTCACTTATAACTTGAAAAAGAGGCCGACTTCCGGTTTTAACTTATTAACTCTTTCAATGAATTAGTCTGATGAAACAGTTTCTCTACGTTTTCCCACTAACTGTATAAAATCACCGAATGTTTAACATGCCTCTCTTCGATCTATATACAAGTACATGTATTTTTTAAAGACCAAGATCCGGTACTATATCCGTTAAAAATGTATAAATCAGCATGTATTTGCAGCGACTGTCTAGGTTTTGGAGTTTATATATAACGTTAAACAGTGCGACATTTAACTCCGGACACGACATTTGTCCGGACTTTCGCCAACCACTTTTCCAAAGATATGTGGAAACCATTTATGTCATCTGATGGGATTTTTTAAAACTTAACACATGAACCAAAATTTACACCTGATTATCTTCTAGGTAAAAAGATATTACACCTGAAACCAAGAAATCCCATGGGATAATGGTGGGATTTTTTCTCCTAACCAATATCCCACCATTATTCTGTGGGAGAAAAAGGTATTCTGTGGGATTTTTTCTCCCATAGAAGTTTGAAAATCCCATGAATGCTTTATAATGGGACAAAATCTCCCATATACTTGTATATAGAAGATAATCTCCCATCTCTTTATAAATGTGGGATTTATCCCATATTCATTACAAAATAGAAAAAAATTCTCCCATGGGATAAAGAAACAACAGTTTTAAACCAAATAAAGAAACTATTGAACAGTTTAACTACTATTAATTATTTATTTTCATTTAAGTTATGTGTTTCCTAAACCATTTTTTTTAATTTCTTAAAATTAACCAATTTTGGGGTAATGTTTAATTTTTTCAATGATTAAAGATCAAAAAATCAAAAGTGGTTTTATCTCTATAACTTTCAGTTTTTTTTTTTTTGTTTTTTTTTTAAGTAAAAAGGCAATTTCCCTTGTATGTAGATTACCTTCTTTTATTCCTTGTATGTAAATTTTGAATGGGAAAAATAAAAAATGCAATTAAGGAAGAACAAATCTTTTTATGTTTATTTTCCTCCTAATCATTTAGGTTAATTTATTGCATAAGTGCCATTTGTCAAGCTTTACAACATGATCAGATCCATGCACGTTGTTAGATCTTTGCCTGTTTGCTGCACTAAACTGATAGGTTTCCAATTAAAAAATCACATGAAATTGGGTCGTATCAGTCACTCTGAGATTCTTAAGAGAGTTTTAAAACTTATTTAGATGCACAAACTGTAATAATTTACCTAATTTTTACTTTTAATTTTCTTTGTATGATCCTGATCATGCCTTGTTTTGTTCCAATGACAGCTGGAAATTATTTTACTCATAACGAACCCGATCTGACAAATAAACAGAAAATAATGTTGAAAAAAATTCAACCATCTTCATTATGCACATTTACTGGTAGTTTGCATTAAAAATATTTAACAACCTTTTCACTAATTTCAAAACTTTCTACCTACACCTACTAAACATATCAAGAATTTTTGACAGTTCATTGAACCCGTTCAAAAATAAACATGATGAAAGGGCATGGATCCAGAAATATTTGCGGTGGTACTCTACTCATTGTTTCATATCATCCAGTAGAAAACAATTAAGTTTTCCTTAGTTCTGTTACTTCTTTAATAAAAGCACTCTGCTGATCTTTTACTTGTTATTTTTTGGTACATATAATAACCATGCACCATTGACATGTATTCAACTGATAATAGCCAAGTCACCTTAGGCCATTGCAAGTTTCTTCTTTGTTAAACGTCAGCATGCACCTTGTTTTGGACACCCCATAACACATAAAATAAGAGGTCCAGGCCACAGTTAGTTAATGCTCACTGTTAATACCCACGCGGATGCAAATATAGCAGAATGATATTGGGTACATGTATTAAACTTTTACCTCAGCAATCTACGTGTAATTTAAATAAGATGTTAGATCCGCACGCATACTCGCTAAACTGACTGTAGTGACTATGTGAGCGGATCTAACATCTAATTTTAACTAGATTGGTACTTAAGTGGCTTAAATTTATTCAACTTCTTTCAGGAAGATTTTCAATTTTCTTGTCATAAATGCATATTGTCAATTATTATGCTTCCTGTCAGTTTGTCTCTACATAACCCATACCCTACTATTCTTGCATAGTGTTCTAAGGATTTAAATAGCATAAGCATACTATGCCGAAATAGTGCACGACTTCATTTTCTGAAGAAAAACTGACTGCGCCCACGCCTGGGAGCGAACTCACAACCCCGAGATTGTCATTCCGACGCGCTACCGATTACAACACAGACGCCGTTATAAATATCAATGTACTATAATATATATAAACTTAGTTTCAAATATTTTACACTTAAGTAGCTGCAGAACTGTAGCTCTCAGAAAAAATATATGTTGACAGACCAGAGAGCTACAGTGCCACCCATTGAAAAAACTGTATATTTATTGCGCACAAAAAAGTGCGCTCGGTTCTGAATTAATTCTTCGAAATTCTTACCTCAATTGAAAAAAAAGCTACATTTCAAAAAAGTCCTTACTCCTCTATAACTTTCGTAGTTTACACTTGTACTAAGTGCGTTGGACCGAATTCTCGTGAAGACCAAAATGGCAGTATAAATAGGCAAAATTTTCAATGATTTCAATTTCAGGGCCAGGAGGGCTGTTAAAAACAATTATAAGGAATGTTTTATTGTGGAAACAGTGAAAGAATATGTTAGAAACACACGTTTAGTAATATTTTGAGATGACAGTTTTAAAAACACTGAGAAATAAATCGAGAAACAGTGCACAAAAAGTGCACAATAAATATACAGTTTTTTCTATGGGTGGCACTGTAGCTCTCCCGTCTGTCAATATATATTTTTTCAGAGAGCTACAGTTCTGCAGCTAACACTTAAGATGAAAAATAAACAAAATAATTCTTCTAAAATAGTTTCTTGCAATTGACCCCATCACTCAACTACTATTCTCTAAAACTATCTGTACATTATACCTAAAGCCTCCGGCTTGTGCACCATGTGTCAAACCCTGACTTCTTTTTAAGAATAGTGCATGCAAAATACAACACTATTATATAAATATGCACACTTCATGAGTTCCCTAGTTCATTGAATAAAGGTACACATACCTTCATTTTACATTTAAGGACATACGCAAGATACCTTACCTACTGATAATTTTTCAAGATATTCTAAATTTAAACTTATAATACATGTACCATATAACATATTTTTAAACAAAAAATCAGCATGCATTTCCAGGGATTTTGAAAAGATATTAAAGTTTGAAAAATTTTGCATTATTCAAAGAAAAATGTACAAAAATTACAAAACATAAATTCCAGATTTTTTTTATCAAAATTGTTTTAGAAGAGATTTACAAATCCATATATAGACAATAAAAATATTGCACACAGGTCCTTCATTTAGTGGAACTCTTCAACTCCAGGGAAGAACCCAATAAAGTGCAAACTACGTTGCGTATGACCTTAAATGCCCGTTTATATAAGAGAAAAATAAATTAAAGAACTTGTTCTAATTAAAATAATGAAAAAAAAATCCTTATTTAAGCCTTTAAGTTTAATTTTTAATTAAGAAATTTGACAGATGAATAAGAAGAGTAATATACAATATAATACTTCTTAAATTAATTCTCTTGCTTCCATTCATTAGATATTCAATATTCGAGTCAACACTCTATACATGAATGAATTATCAAAAGTTTTGTCCTTAAAGTTTTCAATGGATCCACAGATCATGAGGTGATGTCTCCTTTTATGTGTATGTATCTGTGTACACTGAAAAAAAAAAGAAAGTCGCTGTGTGATGAAAAGGATAAACCAGAAGTCTCTGATGAGACTGTAGCTCTCCTGGTCTATATGTATAACAAAGAAAAAGTAACACTTGGATTTGAAACTTTGCAACAGACAGCAATAAATAGAATTATGTATCTAAGTGTAGTCTACTTGTGTGCCACATTATATTGAAATCATACCAAAATTGTAGGTGGAGTAGCGTTTTAAAGGAATTTTACAGAAATTTCTATTTTTAGTAACCATGGCAGCACCGTTCATTGAAATGTACCTTAGTGCAGTCTAAGTTATATTGAAATCAGAATAAAATTGTAGGAGGAGTAGTGTTTTGAAAAATTACAAACAGATGGACAGCTAGACAGACAGACAACTAGACACCATGGACAGACAGACAGACGGACAGCTAGACGGATGGACGAGGGACACCTTCCTATCCCATAAGCTCTTCTGGTCTCTGACCAGTAGAGCTAAAAAAAATATCAAATTTGATTTTTTTTCAATGTTAAAGAAATAAAACTGCAAAATTAAATTGTAAATGGTTGGTTGCGTACTAATTATTCAAAGTAGTTTTTGTTGTATGGTTTGAAAAATTTTATTATTCATTCTCTCTATTTTCACAAAGAATTACCTTTGCATTTCTTGTATCTACAAGGGGGACAAATCTTCAAGTGGTACATGTACACTATATGTCAGCTACTATACCTTCATTTTCTGTTAAAGAAAAAAAATAGAATAAATCATACAATACCAATTACATGTATAATAACAAAGCATGGATTAAATTTTTCACTAAAATTAGAAAATGGATTGAATATCGATCACTGAAATTTCTCGATCCAGCCAAAATGACT